GCTCTGCCTGGCTGAGTCATGAGGAATCAGGGCCAGAGCACCTCCTGCTGCTTTGAGGCTGGGATACAGCTGATCGGACTTCGTGTATTTAGGCTTCTTTATTGCTTCTTTACTGTGGATGAGTTTATTGGTTGAACACATGCAAGTTCAAGCAATTTTACAGAACTAACAGCAGACAAATTTTAGTCTGTAGAGCTGGCTATTTTTACTGGCAGTGCAGGTCTACATGCTATGTTTACCCCATCAGGGAAAAAAAGCAATATTCTGTCACCTAAAAGTTAACAGAACCAGCCAATGAAGGAATCAATTTATAATAATGATTAATAACAAAGCACTGTGGGCAATGGAGCTACAGACTAAAACTAATTTGTGGAAATTACTCAGCAAGTGATTATGACTAATGTGATTTGCCTTTCGGCAATTCATGAAAAAAGGTTAAATGTGTGGAATGAAACATTCATTATCCATTATTCCCTCAGTATAGGCAATGGCATTCATACTGTAGCAGAGCCTATACACTTCAGGCAGATTTCAGGAATTATATGGACTCTTTTTTTTAACTTAAAAAAAAGGGGGCAAATATCCTAAGGAGCTCCAGATGCTAAATTTAAAAAGTCCTGAGGGACTATGCCTCATGTAAAAGTGTGTGAGTTAACTCTGCAGCTTAAATATTGGTAGAAGAGCAGTCCCGTTTGAGATCAAGAGGTTTCCTCAGGAATAAAACCATTCAACCTCTTAGACAAATTTTCTTGCTTGTGCTGAATTTAGACTGCCAGTGTTACTGAAGTTAATCACTGTGGGCATATTCTAAGATACTTCTAATACATCAAGACATACAGCCAAGGTGATCTTTCAAGGATGTCTCAGTGCAGGTTTCTGCAAATGCATATTCAGGAAACCATTCCCTTTGTGTTGGACACTCTTCCCAAAAGGGACAGACCTTGCAGCTTGCTGACCTCTACAGCATTGGCTTTAGCATAGTAAAAGGCAGAACTCTCACCACTTCTTTCCCCACTGCCCCAGTGTTTCTTTCGGAAAGAAAACAGCTAAAGCAGACTGTAAATGACAAAATCTACTCAGGAAAAATCATCAGTAAGAGCAGTCATTAAGAAACTGGTAGATAAAATGAGTGAAAAGATACAATGCTGTTCTTCCCAGTGCCTGTTTATTTTCTTCATGATTGTTTTCCCTTTGTCCAAATCAGTGGGCAATAAGAAAGGGTATCTTTGCATTTGCTTTACTTTCTGCCTGACACCAAAATTCATTGCTTTGTAATAGGATCATCAGGATGATTTTCTCAAACTTCTTTGTGATAAAGCCCTTCAGAAGGATATGCTCACTTGAACTGAGGGGAGAGGAAGTTTTCTTTTAATTTTTTGAAATATGAAAGGTAGGTCAGAGGGAAAGGCTAAGTCACTCTGCAGTGTAAATTTAAAGGCAGAAGGAAACGACTGAAATGAACACAGAACACCATGAGTCTATAGGAAAGTTCCCTCCATCAGACACAGTGAGGAGGAAACCTGGGAAGCCCTCTCCCTTATCAGAACAGATGGTCTGTTGTATGCAAGGAAATCCTGCAACAAGAATACAATCCATTTGTGCAGAATCTACTCAGTTTTTGCACCATCCTGGGAATTTATTCAAAATATTTACGTTGTGCATGGATCACTCTGGGGGTAAACCGGGCTCCCCAATTTTGCACAGTAATTCCTATGTTTTTTTGGGTTGGCTAATGAGGACTAATCCTGACTTCACTGGAAAGCGTAACTTTTGGTACCTTTGAAATACACCTCGTCTCTAATAGATAAACTTGCCTGAGTAGAGAAACAGGCCTGAATTGAAACCCAAGTGCAGGTATCCTTCTCATTTCATGAACAAAAGTGATGTAACTTTTATTTTCACTGACTTTTCTTGTTCTTATAATACTGACAATGGAGAATACTATCAGGCCATATCACAACTCAGGTTGAAAACTGAATTTTGCTCAACACTGAGTAACACAACAGAAGGATCCCATGTCTTGAAAGGATCCTGGTTCCATCTTTATTTTTCCCTTGAGGAGCAGAACATTTGAGTAATATAACAGTTTGATATTAATTTACTTCTCAAACCAGAATAGATTCAAAGGAGATATGCCTTAAACCAATTCTGATTTTCTGACTCAAAAATGAAAAAATCCAAAGTGCAGTCCTTGTAATTATACCAATTTGTATATCTCTGCTGACATTTCTGTTCATATCTCTATTGTCTGTCAGGCATACAGTGCTAAGATAGCATCAGCACTCTATCTGTAGAGTTTTGTTTGTAGCTTATTTTGCACTATTGGGGTTTTTTTTTTGGTGCAGTGCACTGTCTTCTATTTTCTCCTGAGCACATATTCAGCATGGTGCTTAAAGACTCATAGTCTTTTGAATTTTGAATTTTCAGCTTTTGAATTTTCAACTCTGGAAGTCTAGGGGCAGGAGAAGGACAGAGGAGACTTGACATGGAGACTTAAAAATTGCAAAACTCTAAATACATGGTTCTGAGGAGCTGATGACTTGCAGCCACTACTGACGTTTGCCAGTATTGTAGGGACTTGGCACCTCTGAGGATTGTCATTGTTTATCCACTTCTTCATGAGGGAATAACCTGAGATTTTGTGTGGGGGAGAAGATGATAAGTAATATTAAACATATCCATTACTTGTTAGCCACTCAGGTGTCTCTTTCTGTGTGACTGCATGCAGATGGGCAGTGAAGCAGCTGCAGATGGAAGAGCCCTAAGACCTGACATGCAGCCAAACCCAGCCTATGTTCATGAAACCAGGTGTCACTGTGTTCTCTCTTTTATTGAGTCTTCCCTTCAATCTCCTCATCTTAGTGCCTCAACAGAATCAATCACTTTCTAATTTAGTCAGATTCCAATGCAGTTTGCCAAAATTTTATTTTCCTGCTCTAAGAGTTACAGCATACAATTATTTATTCAAGTTTCTACTGCTCCCACTTTGATGGAATTGGGTGAAGGAATCTCTTTCTGGGAGCCTAAGGGAGCTCTGTAATGAGAAACAGTTGCAGGAAGGTGAGTAACCTTTTGGCTTCGCAGGGTTTGCAACATGAGGAGAAAGGAACAAACACATGTGCTCCCTCTTTATGTTCCAGCATCCAGGGGGAAGAAATTAAAGCAACATCCAGCTTCCACATGTATTTCTCGGGTTTATGGTTAGATTTTTTTTTCCTAATTGGGAGTAAAAAAATTATCCTTTTTAGGGTGTTACAGTAATATTCACAGGTGAGGGTCAGGCCCTTAATAAGCAGTGTAGAAGCAAATATAAGACAATATTTTTTAGAAGAGTTGGACATTACAGTGCCAAGTGCAGTAATGCAAGGTATCATGACACTACCTCTGCTGAACATTGAAAGTTTTCATGCAACATGTCCACAGTTTGGGGGTCTTGAGAATGGGATTTACAAAAGACAGCATCTTGAGTGGGGAACGAACTGAACACAGCGTCAAGAAATGCGGATGTGAAGAAGACGGCCTCAGTTTTTCTACTTAAAACTAGTAAGGTGTCAATGTCTTGACTGCAGTCACACAGCTGTAATCACAGCAGCAAGCTTTCTCCTGAGCTGAGATACCTAAGGTATCTATCCTCTTTCTTAAAAAAAATGGTAGGAAGAAAGCTTTGTCATAACTGAAAGGTGGAATGTTTTTCAGAAGGGTGTAAGAGCTATTATAACATCTTCATTTTGGTTTATTTGGTATGTGGACAGAGATTTGATGTATGTGTTTCCCAGATGTTAACTACTGGACTAGGAAATTATATGCACCTTCTTTTTTTCCTCACTGAGAACACAATCATTTATGTGACATTTCAGCAACAGAGACAGAGATACACCACAGACTGCCTAACAGTTTGGTGAAATTGAAGGCAGTGAGCAGCCCAAAGGTTCTGCACGTGCTCCAAACACTTTGGTACAGCTGGTGTTCTGCTGTGACCCAAAACTGTATGTCATAGGAATGATAAAGTTACCAACAAGTTCCTTTGTCTATGCCAACCAGACACAAGGAAGGCTTGAGTTTCTGGGCCAAATGACATTAGCTTGTGCCTCTGGTGCCTATAAGGTTGCCCTTCAAACTCCTTTACCTTCACAGGTACAAGGAGAAGCCAACTGTTGCCTGCTGGGGTCAAGCAAACATGAGCTTACACAGGGGAAGAGACAGAGCCTGGGACACACATTCAAATCCTGAAACAAACAACATAGTGATCCAGTTGTTACTTCCCTTGTTCTGCTCTGGTTAGGCTGTGTTTTGGCAACTCTTGACAAGGCTCATCCCTTTTCCCCTGTGCCTGGGGGCAGCACATGTGCGTGGCACAGTCCTTTCCACATTGCCGTAGGGGCCATAGACCTGGCTTACAGATACTCCCCCATTCTCTAAGACAGTGGGCCATGCTGCTGTGGAAAGACTGCCTCTGCCTTCGCTAGCTGTGCCAGCAAACAGCATGCTGCAGAGTGCTCCTATGCTGCACTGCTACAGTGGGACCACTGCTTTACATTTACATCTGCAGGAAAAGGCCAGGGAAGAAAGATTTTGGTTTGCTGACACTCTCTCAACTGCCTCTAGAAAATTATTCTGCCAGAGAGATTCCCAAACTGAAGCCAGTTCCTCTTCCATATTCCTGTGTGTATTCACAACTTGAATTAACTCAGTGTTTTAAATAACACCATCAGTCAGATAATGAAGCATGCAATTATGTATGCTAGAAAGAAATGGAAGAGAGAAGAAAGCAAATTTCTGAGTGTGGTTCCTATATTACTTTAAGTCAATAAGTCTTGTTAAAATTGTCAGGCATAATGAATCTGATTCTTATGCTATTTTATTGGGAAATTAGGAATTTAATGGGCAAAGGCTGCTTTGAGATTATAAAATAACTTGAAGTGCCAAGTGAAAGGCAAGTCAGTTGAAGACTACAGTCTTCAAGAAGATCAGAAAAAGAAGATGAAAATAATCAAACTCACCTCAAGTCTGTTGAATGCAGCCCTCAGGATCTGTGTTTCCCTCTCGCTCTCAGGAACAACTCGTATGACTTTATCACTGCCAATAACAGAACATTAAATTGATACTTTAAGGCTCTTTGCAGCAGCACAACGTGATGGTAAATAGGTTCAGACAGCTACAATAATTGTGCTCTTTTTCAGCATCTGCAAAATGTCAGGTGAACTGGAACTCTGCTTCTAAACTTGGCACCTTGGATTATGCACTTCCATAGAAATTGTTTACTCTTTATAGATCAGTGTCATCTTGACCCTCCATTTCCATGTAAATGCTTTGTTCATTCCTTCTAGGTTAAACCATTCAAGCTGACATCTTCCATACTGAGTATCTGCCTCAGATCAAAACTACTGTTTTTTTTTTCAAAGCAATTAATCTGTTTCTGAGGAAGAGATTAGGTAAAATACATTGCTTTTTCTTGTTTAAATCTTTAATGGGCTTTGAAAAGTCCAGTGTTGTCATGCATTAAATAGGGGACAATTTTAGAAAAGAGGTGATCTTCATATCAGGGCATACCTTTTGGTTTATCCATTAAAGCTTGCACAAATTTCGTGAAGTAAATAGCTGCTCATACATGTTCAGAAGATTTTAGGTAATAGCAGCTGGTTTCATTCACTTTCTTTAACAGAAACTGAAATAAGGTAGCTTTAGATAAGATATTAGGAAGAAATTCTTTACTGTGAGGAGCACTAGAACTGGTTGCCCAAAGAAGTTGTGGCTGCCCCAACCCTGGAAGTGTTTGAGGCCAGGTTGGATGAGGTTCTGAGCAACCTGTTCGAGTGGAAGGTGTTCCTGCCCATGGCAGGGGGGCTGGAAATATATGACCCTTAAGGTCCCTTCCCATCCAAACTATTCTGTGATTCTATGACCTTTGGCAAAGAGGAAACAGGAAACTGAATGACCATTCAATGACTACCATCTATGTAATGAACTATGGGAGGCTGGAGACCACAGAAAATATAGCAGCTGATCCTGTAACTAAGATGTCAGCCATACACAAGAAGGCTGACATGGCCAACGTTGATTCTGGAACTTTCCTACCTTTTCAGGTTTTTAATTTGTACTTTTGATAATCCTCTTTCAAGAGACCTTGGAGGTCATGCATATCTTTATTTCTACAGTTCTATCCAATAGCCAGAATACCTTTTAAATAAATTATGTACAGTTTCTGCATTATCTGGGAATTTTACACTGTAGAGTTTCCCTTGACATCGAGATGTTGGTCCCATAAATATACTGTGAGCTCTCCTATTTCACTGAAGCTTCTGAGTCTGATGAGAAGACATTTGGCTAACTAGAAAGACCACTGGTGAGTGTTCTGCTGCTGGCCTCACTGTTTTAGGGAGGGTCCCAAGCTGCTTCTGTTCTCAGCAAGCAGGTGCCAGGTCTTGCCTTTGGTGTACTGCAGTTTCTGCACTATCTGGGAATCATTTCCCCTTACCCCCATTCTTCTTTAGTCTTTTCTCTACAGTCAGCATCTGCTCTCCTTTGTTGGCCTCTGATCCTTCTTTCTGTCTTAGCTCTCCAGTTTTGGTTCCCACCCCGGCTGAGTTTTCCCTGCAGTCAGGTCCCAAGCCTCCCAACTCCTTCATGGCCTTAAAGTTTTTGGTCCAGTTAGACTCCAGGTTATTGTTGCAACAACACGGATGTAGCCAGGGATGTGGACCTCAGTCTTGGCTGCTGTTGACCTTACTTGACAAATGGTTTATGCCTCAGAAAGATTTCTGAAAGCACTCTTGTAATTTGGCAGCTATAAAAATTTAGGGGAAATTACTATGCTTCCAAGACAAGTTTAACCTCCTGTATAGGAACTTACACAGAAAAGAATAAGCCTCTTAGAGCACTACAACTGCTACATCTTTTCAAGGAAAATAGATACTTTTAATTTATCATACATACAATAGTAATATTCTTTCCCATTACTCACTTCTTTCAGAGTATTAAATTGCTGTTAAGAACAAAATGAGTAAAAAGAAGTAATGATTGCTCAGGACATGTGAAGTCAAAGTAACTAATAAAGATTCATTGGACATTTATGGAAGGATTGGTACAATCAACATATAAAAACCAGATTTTAATGAAATAAGTAGCTAAGCATGTGTTATGCAGCTGTAATGGAATTTCAAAGGAATGGATATCACTTAGGTATGGTCTCGAATTAATACACATCACTCTAAACTGTCTTGCATTAGCTCAGTAACTCTATCATTTCCAATGTGATGAAAAACCTGCCTGAAAAAAGAGGAACACTTGATTACACACCGATCACTTGACACATCGTTGGGAAATGCCTCAAGATGTGTCTAGGTCTGCTGCTAGAGAGCTCAAGCAAGCAGTTTAGCATACCTGCTAATGTTAGTATTTTATTAAAAGATGGTTAAGCCATTACAAGGCACTTCCAATTTTTGTGCATGCAAGTTGCAGGAATAAACTGAATTCCTGAGAACTCTCTGCTAACACCCACTTCTGTAACCTGGCTAGCCAGTGGATAAGCATTATACATTCTTCAAAAAAGCAGATACCAAATCTGACTTTACTGCTGATATCTACCAATCAAAGAACAGTCCTAAGTTAATTTTTTAGTTTTACAGCTTTCCTAGTTACATTTTACATTAAAGAAATCAAATGATTACCTTAAACTCTGTGCAATACCCATTGAACTCAGGGTAGAAATGCAAGAACCTACCCACTATTTAAAAGCCAACAACAAAATCTACCAGATCATGGACTAATGTGGTTGCTATATGGCAGCTGTACCCCAAACACTAAGGACTACCCCTTGGTGAGGTCCCCTGCCATCCTTCATGTTGAGATGTTGAAGAAAAAGAAGCAAGTGAGCATATATACATCTAGGGAAAGTTGTGTTGCCTGCAGACATATGTCAGCAATCTGCTGATTTATGCAGCTGAGGTTATTTTTCTAACCATAATGTCTCTAAATCTCTTTTTTGAAGGCTATTTTTTTAAAATTTCTAAACAAACAGCAGGAAGGGGTATATTTTGTAGAAATTAATACAGAAATTTACGTCCACCATGACAAACTTTCAATTTATCCCTAGCAACTAGGCTAATAGAATTTAAAGCTAGGATTAAATGAGATCTTTAGAATTTTGTGTAAACACAGTTGAAAGCCTTTGCCAAGAGCAAAACACAAGCTTTAGTAAATGGACTGACTGAATGAGAGTAGTGAGCAAAGAGTAGAAGCCAGACGGCTGATGTCCCCAGGGACAGCCTTATGTCTGAGCAAAATGGGTGACCAGCTGTTGACCAGCACTGACATGCAATGTCTTTTTTTTTTTTCCTTCATTACCCTCTTATATTTTCAGGAACAGCATGAAAAATTACACAGCTGCTTTTGAAACACAGAATATACTACATGGCTTTAGGAAGGGTGATACTCCCTGACGCCAATGGAGACTAAAACCTATTGGTTTATATCTTTGGCTTTTTCATTTACTTCTTTTCCATTTACTTCATAGTTTTAGTCATCTATGAACAGACCAGATGGATTCAATGAAATCATTCTGCAGCACATCTATAACTTCTTTACTGATGGAATTAGTAGCTCTCTCTCATGAAACTTCCCTGCTAAGTCACATGGCATGAACTGCATTTATGTAAATTCCTCATTTCCTCCAGGAAAATCCTTCTTATTGTTTTATTTTCCTGACTAATGTGAAGCTTAATCAGATCTCTGCTCTCCCATGGAATTCAATAAAAGTATGTTTACAAAGGCTTTACAAGTATTTTAAACACAGTTTAAGGAATTTGATTTGCTATAAATCAAATACCTATAGAAAAATAGCAAAGAAAATAAATCCCCACTTATAGGCATCCATTCCTAATAGTAGAGGAGGGACTATAGTTCTTGAGAACAAGATGCCTTAGTTGTTGCACTTAAGTGGTTCAGTAAGGCTGAACAACACATCTGAAAAGAGCTACAACATGAGAGCCTCTTGTCAACTCCCAATATGCCATAAGATATCACTCGCGATGAAAGATCAATAGCTTCATTACTTTTTCTCCACTAAATTCTGATAGTCAAAAGGTTAAACAATATTAAAATATTAATGTTTTTTCCTCTCTTCATTACTGGGATGAAGAGTTTTAGCAGGGACTCAGTCCTGTTACAAAATCAAGTGACTTAAATATGGCTGGGCTTCTTCCCAAGACCTGATGGGGACATCTGGAAAGAGAATTTTACAAAACTTCCTGAGCCCTTCATTATGGTTTTCTGTATTACAGCAGATGCTGATCCAAACAGAAGAGAACACCATTTGTATTGTCTAGATAGCAATGCTTATATTTTCTGCCTTTTAGTTATTAAGGCTGGAAAACTGATGCCATTCCTAGTATAAGGAAGAGCTAGATAATCTATAATTTTTAATGAAAAAGACATGCTTGGGTATTGCAGGCAGAAACGCTGAGGAGGCAAAATATGTTATTGCATTATATTTATCAGTATAGCACAGATGACTTCTTGGAAAGCTGAACTTTTATGCAAGTTGCCTGCTAATTCCCAGGCATGGGATATCTGATTTTCACGGATTTTTTTCAGGTGCAAAAAGAGTTTCTTTACCCAAGCAGGAAACCTTATGGACTAAAGCAATGCTGTATTACTAGCACTCTTCCTTTAAACAGTTTCATCCCAGAAACAGATGGTATGGAAAGGTGAATGTCTGCAAATATTCCAGTTTTCATTCCAACTAAGGAACGATGCTTTTCCAAGCAAAGTTGGCCTCCAGTGTCTCAGAAGCACTGGATACAGGGCCACCTCGCTTAAACACAGCAAGTGGGAATAAGTTGCTTCAGTGCATGCCTCTCTCTCAGAAAAAAAATCCCAACTGTGTATAGTAATGAATACTGTCATGGCTTCACCAAGTGTCATCCAGTTGTGTGCAAATAAAAGAGAGTAAGGAGGCAGTGATTCGGGGCAAAAAAAGAAAAGAAATAGCAAGACCAATACACACCTAAGACAAACAAACAGACCAAATTAAGAAAGTGGATAACAAGGAGATATTGAGCTAACTCAATATCCGGGGG